TACTTCTAATTCCGCCAGACTTGTGCAATTAACTAGACGCCGGTTTTTAGAATTCCTGCATTTCACTGAAATTGTCTCTGATGAATCGAAAATTTGCAGCTGAAATAGCGCACCGGGGTCTAATTAACAAATCACTTTGCAAGCGGTGGGACGATAATTGAAGAAAAAATTGATTCAATCATTCTTAACATCATTGTTAAAAGCTGTTGTCTGGCAAGTGGAACACGTCATGGGCTAGTTCTTCAATAAATACTTCAATCAGTATTCACGCCTGCGATAGTTTTCCACTTTATTGTTGCAGTCGGAAATATTGTTTGTGGACAATTACTCACCCGTTACACGCACAATAATTTGACAAGTTCTGCAGCTAATTATCGGTGGTTACAGGACTTACCTAGAACAGAAAGATAAAATAAATTAGTAATATTCAATTTTATTTTATTATTCAATTGTTTATTTTCATTGCTAGGAGACAACTTTTTGTTGACTTTGAAAAATCAGTGGAATTTCGCATTTTTACGCAGCAGAAACACGGAATTATCAAAACCTGAATATTCAATACTAAATTACACTGAGTTGTTTATAATTGTTTATCGATTAAAAATTCAAGAAAAAATTATCCAACCAGATTTCTTCATGATATTGATAATTTTGAAATATGAAATTTGCTAAAACTGTCAAAAAAGTGGAGTAGTTAAATTGCCATAACATTTTTTTTACAGTATATTGACGTTAAATACAGAGTGAAAATTTCATTATTAAAAATGCCATAAGTAATGTAGAATATCAGTAATATTGAAGTTTCATTATGTATGCATGAATATGGAAGTGCAAAGCTCTCTATTGCCGATGGTCAGCATATGCAAACCTCTCGATGTAGAATATCCCGAGTTATCATTAGAATTCCAGAATACCGAGTGAGCATTCCAGGACAGTCTGCCTCTCTCGGTAACCAAATAAATCTGAGGAATTTTCACAATTTACAAATACCCCACGGTCGATATATCAACTTTCTAATAATAGTTCCACCCAAAGAGGATTGACTAAAGTAGAGACTCAGTTCTGAGGGTTTGTGACCCCACCAGCATCGTAGTACCTCACCTCAAGACAGAGAGGGCGACACACGCAATGCTGAGGTGTCTGCCCGTCAGCCGACTCAGTAACCGCCTCAGTAGCAGACCCACCAAAGAGGATTGACTGAAGTAGAGGCTGAGTTCTAGGGGGTTTGAGTGACCCCAGCGGCATCGTAGTACTGCACCCTAAGAGAGGGAGAGCGCCACAAGCAATGGGGGTGTCGTCCCGTCAGCGGACTCGGTAACTGCCTCAGCAGCAGTCCCGCTGTCAGAGGGTGAATTTTATTTTATGTGTTACGAAATTGGTATTCACTGAAATTGAAAAATGAAAAGTTTTCAAAAAAGTATCAGAGGAGCATAAAAATGGAGGAGGTATTCACTGAAATTTGAAATTTCAAAATTTTTCGAAAAGTATCAGGGGAGCATGAAAATCTAGGAGGGATTCACTGAAATTGAAAAATTAAAAATTTTCAAAAATGTATCAGGGGAGCATGAAAAACGAGGAGGTATTCACTGAAATTTGAAATTTCGAAAAGTATCAGAGGAGCATGAAAGTCGAGGAGGTATTCACTGAAATTCAAAAATTTTTAATTTTCAGAAAATAAAATTCACCCAGTCGACTGGTCCCTCTGACAGCGGGACTGCTACTGAGGCAGTTACCGAGTCGACTGACGGGGCAGACACCCCACCATGGGTGCGGCCCCCTCTTTCTCTTGGGGTGAGGTACTCCCCCCGAACTGAGCCGACCAGTGGGGGTTTGAGTGACCCCACCAGCATTGTAGTACCTCACCCCAAGAGAAAGAGGGGGCCGCACCCAATGGTGGGGTGTCTACCCGTCAGCTGACTCGGTAACTGCCTCAGTAGCAGTCTCGCTGTCACCGAAATGACCGGACCGAATGACATGGTGAATATTATTTTCGACGTGACGAAATAGGTTTTTGTTTTTTATTGTAAAATTTCGAATTTTCACATTTCAGTGAATACCTCCTCCATTTTCATGCTCTCCTGATACTTTTTCGAAAATTTCGAATTTTTCAATTTCAGTGAATACCTCCTCGATTTTCACGCTCCTCTGATACCTTTTGGAAAATTTCGAATTTTCAAATTTCAGCGAATACCTCCTCGATTTTCATGTTCCCCTGATACTTTTTCAAAAATTTCGAATTTTTGAATTTCAGTGAATACCTCCTCGATTTTCATGCTCCCCTGATAC